AGAAATCCTCATAATAGAATACAGAACTCTCAGATTTAAATCTGTATCACTACTCAATTTTTTTATAACTAGTTACATCAAATTCAAAATGTTAACTTTTAACATAAAAGAGTTAAACAATTAACAAAAACAACAGAATATATTAACTCTATTAAAATCATATAAACTAGACCTAATCATGCTACAAGAAACAAATTTAAATGATGAAAATACATGAAACTTTCTTAAAAACTAATGAATGTTTGACTCTATTTGGATAAACAAAACAGCTATACTCATAGACAACAATGATATAACCTTTAAAAACATCAAATTGAATCTAAATAATAGAATGATTACTACCAATTTTAAGTATAAAGAGCTTACATTTCAAGTTTTCAATATATATGCTCTATCTAACCCAAAAGACAGAAAATTCTTTTTTAAAAAATGGTCTTCTTATATTAAAGAAACTGCTATTAATATTATTAAAGATGATTTTAATACTAACCTTATTTAGAAAGAGATAGAATTAGTAATGCAGCTTCACAATGTGATACTACAAAAGCACAACTTCAAGATCTTACTAAAAATTTTTTAGATTCTTCTAAATTTGCAAAAATAAAGCCTTTCTATATTTTTTTTCAAAAAACTCAAAGCAATTGCATTATAGTCACACATTTGAACTATATTTTCATCAATGAAAACAATGCTTACTTAATCTTAGAAGTTAATATAAAATTTGAAAACTCAAACCACCTGCTAGTTGAGTGCACCCTAAACTTTAACCCTAAAGAAAAAGAATTTGCTCTCTGAAGAGTTGATAAAAACTGCTTTAAAAATGAAAAACTAAAAAAAGAGATATTAGATGAAATCTCAGATTTAGAAAATATAGAAAATTGGAACTTTCATAAAGTATATATATAATCTATTATTAGAGCCTTTAGAAAACCAAGAGTGACAGAAAAAAAAATTATAAAACTAAACAAAAACATTACTTAACTAAAAGAAAGACTAATATATAATCCTAAAAACAGCTATCTATATTCACAAATCAATATTCTAAACTCAAACCTTTAAGAAGAACTATCTTAGTTTGCTAAAAAATGGCAAACTTGTTCTAAAGCTCAATGGATTGAATAAGGTGAAAAATCTACAAAATACTTCTTTGCCAGGTATAAAACAAGAAAAGCTAGTTCTGCATTAAAGAACATTAAAGATTCTAAAGCTTCATAATAAACTAAAGAAAACACTCTTTGCTATATAAAAGAAAAATATGCAGAAATCCATAAAAAAGAGGATATAGATATTAGCTCAGCAGAAAAAATTACTAAAAACTTGCTACAAGTTTTCTCTGCATGTAATTTGTCTCTTATATAAGAAATTATACAAAAAAAAAATTAGTAATATTATCAGAAATATCTCAAACAATAAGACTTCTAGCACAGATAAACTAATATATAAGTTTTATAAACTTACTAAAAAAGTAATAACATCAGTTCTTTATAGTATTTTTAATTATGCTTTTAGCTTAGAAGTTATGCCAACTTCTTGATATAAAAGTTTAATTTTACTAATATTTAAAAAAGCAGAAAATCTTGAAGATATAAATAACTGAAAACTTATAATACTAGTTAACAATAATGCCAAATTTTTATGAAAATTTTGGCCAATCATCTCAACTTTATATATAAGAAAATAGTATTTTACCAACAATATGAATTTATTAAAAACAGATCTATTACAGATATGACTTTCAATATTATTACTACTTTAAGAAACCAATTAGATTCTTCTAAACAACATTGACTACTTCTTATTGATTAACAAAAAGCATTTGATCATATCAATTATGATTTTTTAAAACTAACTTTGAAGAACATGAACTTCAATCACAAAGTCATAAGTCTGGTACATAATCTTTTCTCTAATTAAAAAGTTCACATTATAGATGCTAGGACTATTTTCAAACTACTTAGAGTAAAAAGAAGTGTTAAACAAGAAGATTTTCTTTTTTCACTTCTTTATATACTAGCCTTTGAGTCTTTTATAAGAAATCTAGAAAGACAATTACAAAGTATAAAGCTATGAAATCAGTTTTTTAGAGCTTCTGCTTATGCAGATGATTTAACAATAAAAATTAGATCATCTACAGACTGAAACAAAACTATAGCAGCACTAAGCCTATATGAGACAGCTTCAAATGCAAAAATTAACAGAACTAAAACCAAATTAGTTTCTCTTATAACTATAGTTCAATAAATAAAACTTACTAATAAAAATTAATTTATCAAATTAGAAAAACAAAAAAAATATTACTATTTTGGGCTATAACATTCTTACTAATGGCCAACTGAAGAAAGATTTTTGAGCTACTACTATTAACAAGTTAAAAAAATCTCTGAACAAGCTTCTAAACAGAAACCTTTCTTTAAAAAAAAAATTTTAATCACAAAGTCACTTATCTTATCTAAAGTTTGGTACTTAGTATATCTGCTACCTTCAAACAGAAAGTAGATAGTAGAAATTAACAGAATTATAATTCTTTAGATCAAGAATATATTATAAATGCTTTTCAAATATTTTATCTTTTAGCAATCAACAGAGTTAGCAGATCTTCAAGTCCTAGTTATTAAAAATATGCTAGATGCTCACTTAATAACAGTTTAAATAAAACTTTTTACATCTAATGCTATATAGACAACAAATAAAAAAAATAAGATACAGTTAATACTCAGTAATAGAAGAAACATTTCTCCTATTTGGACACTGAATTCTGACAATATAAGTATGAAAGCCTGGCTTTCAGAATGGAAATCCTATTTAAAGACCTGGACAAGAATCAAAAACAAGGTTCTACATACCTCTAACTGGCTTTGCAATAGTAATAAAATTAGAATTAAAGAAATTAAAAAAAACAAACTCATAGTTAAAAAAATTTTGAAACTCTTAAAAGAATCTTTTCTTTCATTGACTATATTACAAATATCTTTGCAGATGCCTTAGCTTACTTGGCTCTTTTTGAAGTCTGTTTGTAACAAAAAATATAATATTTTTTGGCATCTTTTTCACAGAACACTCCCACTAGGTTATTAATTAAGATATATTAGATTATCAAAAACAGAAAACTGTACTTGGTGTTTAGATGAAGTACAAACTATAGAACACTTTGCTTTAGAATACACATGTAGTATAATAATCTAAAAGAAAGCATATAGTTTTCTTAACATTAATAAAAAAATATTTATACTATCCTCACTTAAGAATATCTTTTAAGCCTCTAATAATACTTGTTCTTAGACTCTAACAGCTTTGACCTGATTACATATTAATGCAATTTATGAAATATGATAGTGCTACATCTCTGTAAAATAGTAAAATTCAGATATATCTCTTAACTTTCTAAACACTCTTATTAGAAATCATATTTCAAAAAAAAATATGAATTTTAAAAAACAACTCTTTTAGTACTAGATCTAAATCTTTTAAACTAATATATAAATATTTAAAAAGTAACTAAGTCATTCATAATATCTTAATAAAAGAGCACCACCTGTGTCTCTAGTTGTAATGATAACAGAGATATTCCAAAAAAAAAAATTTACAGTATATTAAATATAATATAAATATAATATTTTTACTAATTATTTAATAATTAAGTAATTAATATCTGTAATTATAGTTATATCAATATAAATAGCAAGTTATAAAACATTTGTATAACTAGTTATACATTGAAATGCAAACTAACATTAGGTAGTACAAACCTAAGATAAGTTCTTGTGGCCATGTAAATCTATAAAAATTTGTAAACAAGAAGCCTATTTGAGAAAACTCAAGTAAAAAGATAATACAGATCTTTGATAATATTACTATAAAGGCTAGACTTAGAAAACAAATACTAATGCTGAAGTAGCTGAACTAGTATTATTAGAATATAGATATGGACAATATGAACTATTAGATATGAACAAATATATACATAGTCTATATTGTTTATATTTTTTAATTGAACATATGCACTTAGTTCAAATAATAACATGTAATTCATGTAACAATAATTATAAATTTTGATTGATTAAATTAAACTAGCATATGATTACTCTTATTAACCAAACTCAAATATGTTTCAAATCATAAAAGTTTTAACTTACAGATCAAAATATATTATACAAATATTGCATATATTAATAAATTAAAAGTTTTTTTTTAAAACAAAGTAAAAAAATATATTTACCTTTACAAGTAATAATGTAAGGCTTGAATAACTTAAGTAAAATTTAAACCAATTAATTATTTTATTTTTTTTTAATTATATTTCAAATTTACTATTATAGTAGAGATTTATATTTTAAGATATATACCTTGCACAGGATGACTGTTTTTTAAATAAGCTTTTTTGATATAATAACACAATTTAGCTTATTCATATAAGCAACAAAATTAAAATTAGGATAAACTAATTAAAGATCATATTTACATAATAGAAAGTAGCAATTAATTTGATTTCAATAATTAATATGTTGATCAATAAGTATAAGGTAGTGAAAATGAAAATATAATATAATCATAAAAAATAATAATGATTAAATTAATATAATAATAATAATTAGTAATCTAATTATTAATATATCATTCAAGTCTATTTATGAAGCATTGCTCTAGACTTTTTTTAATGGCAAAGATAATTAACTAGACTAACTACTTTTTATACTCTATTATTAATGCTCAAAAGTTCTTATACTTGTTATTGTAAATTAGAAATTATTTATATAAGTAAATATTTTTATGTTAGAATGCATTTATTGTAATTATTTTAATTATAAAATAAGTAAAGCTATGCATTTATACAATTTATAACATATTCTGTATTTATTTGAAATTGATTTATAAATTGATGTTCTTTATATATATCTATACTACATATAAATATATTAACAATGATTACATTCTTAATTCTCTAGAAGCAAATTAATATAAGCAGATCATGTTAATGAGTTTACAAAAATATCAGCTAATTTCTACTTTATTACCAAATTATTTGCAAGATGAATTGTATCTTGAGATGTTACTTTTTTATACCAATTAGTCATTATTTTCAAATTACTTGAATTATTCAAGTCATCTTCTATAAATTTATCATTCTCTTCTTTAGTTAAACTAATTCATTGTTCTACAATAGCTTTTCAGTTATTTACAGAGTTTAGTTAATCAATATTTTTTATTTATTTTATTTGTTTTAATAATTTCAAATTCATATTTATTTTACAATTTAATAGCCTAAAAAAGTTCTTACTATAAGCCAAATAAGATCAGAACTTATATATTCACAAAATATTGTGACTATTAACAAGTCATTAAAAATATATAAGCAAACTATTGCTATTCTACTCAATAATCAATATGAAAAAGTAAATTCTGTTAAGTATATATTAGAAGATAATCATGAAATAGACAATACAAAAAAAAAAATTTTAAGTAAATATTGATTAACTAAACTCTGTAAAT